CAAATTTGGAGATGCCAGCTATAAATGTTCCTTCTTATGAGACAAGTTCCCTTAAAATGTGCTCTGTTAGGCTCCATAAATATCACAAAATTCACAGAATTCTAAAAGTCTTACCGCATTCTTTTGCTAAAAGGTTTGTGAAAAATAGGATCATATTTACTCCTGGAAAAAAATTAAAATTACTTTCTTCATTCGGTTTTCACTCTAGACTGTTCTTAGTCATTCACAATCAAATGTAGATTTAAATTAAACTACTTTTCTGTATTCCATGGCTAAGAAGAACAATTTTTATAAACACAAGACTTACCACAAAGTATTAAAAAGCATTCCTTATACTATACTAAGTAATCCACAAATATTTGTTAATTGAGTTTGATATCAAGTTTCTATTCGGATAGTACTGTGAGTGAAAAGTCCATAACTGTAAAAATTCCTGTTGGAATATATTTATACATTGACATTTAACAATTTAATTAGAAATATCTGAATGAATAGAGTAGTACACTTTTTGGCAACCAAGAATATGAATACAATGTAATAAGTTAGTATGTATGGTTATGGAGAGGTTAGCTGTATAAGGAGTCTAATTACAGAATGGTGAGGCTGAAGTGCCTCTGTTTACTTGAAAATACAGCAAGGACATCAGAGCATTACTCTGGTGGAATTTAATGAAAAGGATGAGTGTTGTACTATTCTTGGATTTCAGAAAGCATATGTTCTAATTTTTCATTACTAAATGAAAGAATGAAAAGAGTAACAAGCTAGGATTGGACCTTATGTGAATGTAAGGTCAACTCTTGGCAAAATGGTTCAGTTGCTTCCAGAAGCCCAAGCTAAACTATAATTTTGCCTACACTTAACAAGAAATCTATAATGACCCACTCATAAACCCCAGAGTCTTCTCAGAGCTGCCTGAAGGGCAAAATGTGAATGACACAGCTGGGGATTCATGCAATTTTCTATGCAGGCTTTACAGCTTATTTACACTTGGAGCCATCATAGCCTTAACTGTTTTATTTTCAACACAGTTCAAAATGATCTACATAACTCCCAAGATCATCTGTGTATAATGATACATATGTGTATATATAATGACATATATCATTTAATATATATGAATAGACAAGATAGATATCACCTTAATAATAATAACATAACATGACTGTAAAATCAGGACTATTGGGGGAAACAGCAGGAGGTAGAGGAGCAGAGGGAAAGGACTGGGTTATGGGAGGTAAATATGATTGAAGTACACTTTATATATATATATATATATATATATATATATATATATATATATATACACACACACACACACATATGTTTGAAAACAGCATAATGAAACACACTAAAAATTGTTTAAGTAGGAAAGGGGAGATAAGAAAGTAATAGAGTGAATTTAATCAAAATACATGCATGTATGTAAATATCACAATAAAATCTCTTTGTAAAATTAATTTATGCTAATAAAAAATTTTAAAGATACATATTTTACTACATATTACATTTATATAAATATTGTATAAAGCTATCATTAGCTCTGAAATAAACGCTTAAGTACAAATTCGTATCTCTAAATAGGCAAGACCTCCTGAACAGAAGCTGACAGAAGAGTTTGCTTAGACAACAGTCATGCAGTGACTCATCTGTGTTTTCACAACATGCTTCTACCCAGCACCCATGTCTATTTGTAGCCTGACAATAAAGGCCCTATGTGAACCATCTCTGAGACGTCTGCCTTAAAAGCAAAGACACTGTTCTCAGTTGATTCACTAGAGCAGCCTGTGCTTTGGAGAATAACCCACTGCTACATTCATGAAGGCATGCAATATAACTGCAGATTATTTCAGGATTTCTAATGCTTTTCCTTCAGTTTTAGTCCAGTGTTTACATAGCCAAATGAAGTAAGAGGACTTTAACCCTTAAATAAACCCACTACACACCACTACTGGTATCTCTTAGGGCAGGAGAAAGATTGTTTTCATCAACACTAGGCTGTAAATAACAGCCTATCTATTTTTCTCACTTCTCTATACATACCTCCAGTACTTAAAATTGTGACTAACACATTGTAGACACTCCATAAATATTCACAAAGGAACTAATTAACCTCTGCCACAGACCTGTGAAATGACCTGGGCCTTAGCACCAAATCCACGAAATATGTTATCCTGATATCAGTCAAGATGATGTCTACTATCAGAGTGTGAAAAGTTTTGTATGGTAAAATACACAACCATCCAGTCATGAGACACTTCAACATATTAAACTCTTTACTCCCTAGTCCTTAAAATAGATAAAACTATTTATGGATGTTTTTAGTGTGTGTATGTGTGTGTGTGTGTGTATATATATATATATATATATATATATATATATATATATATCATTCATTTCCTATCCTTCTTTTTCAGTGTTTCTATAACCCATTGTGACTCCTACAAGTGCCAAATTGTAGTATAGGAGGACTTAACCAATATACTTCTTAAGGGAAAAAGGCTTCAGAAGTGAGAGGAAAAAAATAAGTTCTTGAGTATTTTCATTCATAGAAACCTTTAAAATAATGCATTCACAGTTTCAACAAAATTATCAATGGAAGCTATAAAATCTATTAATAAAATAATCAAATTATATCTGGAAAAATATACATCTTCATTACTTAGAATTTCAACTCCCTAAAGTAGAATCCAGCAAGTTGTATTTTAGTGTATCACTTAACATTCTGATGCACTAGATCATTTATGTTTCTCCTAAAGTCTTCAGAACCCAGAAAATAGCTAATTCTATCAGCAAGGCCTTCTCTAAGTCATGTTTCATAGTGGGAAATCCCATGTTACTTACCAGGTTACACAACAGAGTACTTTGCCAAGAACTCATTCAGATAGAAACAGATTCACACAGGAGGGGTCAAAACAGACTGACATATTTCTCCCTTAGTCCTAGTTGCTATATTCTAAAGCTGTCTTACGAGGTTGCAAAGATTACAGTCCACTTCAAAAGGCACAGGAAGTACCACAATGTCCCCATTTCAATGACAAGACTGCCCAAGAAAAGAAAAAAATTAAAAAGCTATCTACACAAGAAGGTCTGTGTACATCCCAACATACAGAAGATAGTCTTATTAATGGCTCTCTCAAAACCACAGGTTTCTTTTCTTAGTATGTGGTTGTCTATATTGTCATCTTCATGCTGGCCTCAGGGTGCTTCCCTGTACTTTCTTTTCAGCTTGTTTTTCTTAAATGACTCGCTTTAGTGATCATTATGTTAAAATCTGGATGAGGAATAACTGTCTAACTTGGATATACGTCAGAGTTAGTAAAACTTCTATTACCATCATCACTGTTAAAAGTTTATTCATTCCTATCTTATGAATGAGGATAAAGATTGTTAGAGGTTTCTCAGGGGTACTTCAACATGCTTTGTCTCTACACATGCAGCAGCTCTTTTTGTGGGTAACAAAGAGATACACGTTCTTTGGCCAGCACACTGTGACTTCTGAAATATTCATTAGTTGCCAATATTTAAAAATAATAAGATTTCACTGAGTTTGAACTTTCAGTCTGTATTTGAAAATCAGAAAATAAAGGAATATTGGGTATACATGCACATAAAAACAAGCAAAGATGAGTGGAAACTGCCTCTTTCCAATAGAGCCTGAGATCTTAGGAAACATCACAGTCCCCATGCTATGAGGAAGCCTAAGCCAGACATATGGGAAAGTCATTTGGAGAATTCCCCAGACCCTAGCTGTTCCAGACATCCCAGTGTAGGCAATGGACATGGTAGAGAAGCCATTGGGTGAATTCAACATCTAATGCCATCTGACTGCAAAGTTAAATGAACCTATATCAACCAGGAAAGCTATGAGATAATATAAAATGATTCTTTCAAACCTCTATATGCTATGCAGCAATAGACAAAGGCCTGTAGATAAGTGTACTTAAACCAAAATACAATTGTTTAAATTAATTTCCCCCTTTTTACTTGGGTTAACATAAATGTATAGTCTCCATTTTTTGGTTTCTGTATTTTGGGAGAAATCTAGAACATGCCTGTACCCAGAGAAGAAAGCAGAAATGGAAGAAACGTAACCTTTTGCAATTACCTGCATTTTAAAAGATAAGCTGGCCAGCAGCACTTATGAATGCACATTGGTTAGACAGACACTAATAAGTAGTGAAGTGGAAAGACAAGAGTTCAAAAGGGCTTGAATTGGCTTCCTTTCATGGGAATGTGAGCTCCCCTCACTTGTACCTAGTGTAACGCCTCTTTTTTAAATAACTAGATCAAATAAAAGTAGTTTATACATATTGTTCTATTTGATCAGGGGAATTTAAAACCTCTTTTCTTTCACTAAACTTGTAGCTATCATTGATACAAAAGGAACATAAATATCACCTTCAACGTAACCAACAAATGGTAGTTAAAGATAATGGTACAAGATTATCCATGTCAGAATCTTTATAGGTTAATGAGAGACAGGCCCAGGAATAGAAGAAACAATTCTTGGTTGATATTCATTATAGCTGAATTCTACTGGTAAACTTGCAACTCCAGGCTTGAGCAAATCATTCAATTGTTTGGTGAGTTAATTTGCTTATGTAAGAGCAAAGATGAAGAGTAAGATAATCACACATTCCCAAAGAGCATGTGATCATAAAGTGTAACAGAATGTTGTCCATATACTCAAGGAAGATCTAAACCTTGTGCATCGTACAAAATTAAAGCAGCTGACATGCTTTTGCCCAAATAGAATTGTAGATCCTCATTTCCTCCCCTTCTTTTCCCCACTTGTGACTCAAGCCAGATTTCATCGAGCTATTTTTGTAATTACTAACAGGCTGGAAATACAGCAGCAAGCCAGAAGCAAAGTAAAATGCAGCATCCAGCAAAAGAATCACGCTGAGTAACTGAAAGGCCATCTGCTTCTAACTGAGCTGTAGGGGTGAGGAAGACAATCTGGGCTGTACTATTTGTGGCCTCCCCAAAATCATACCCACCTGCATGTTGTCAGTGGCATCCCCGAGCAGGCCTCCAAAAGTGATAGCATTAGTTACAGTTGCCAGATAGATGAAGAGAATTGCTGAAAGAGCCTGAATGTTTAAAGCATCATAAAAATCACTGGCAAAAAATGGTGCTTTCCTTTTAATGTCCTTAATTAATCCACCACAGAACCTGTGAGAGAGAAAGCAATCATGTGACCAAATATAAAATAAACAACCATCAAATTCATCAAGACATAATCACTAAACCACAAAGGATCTATGCCTAAAATGTTTGAATCAATGACAAGATGCTATTTAAGACAAGTCTTACTTAAGATGAGACCAGAAAACTGTGGAGAAACAAGTTTTCTTCTGTCTCCCTTTTCCAGTTACCAAAATAAGTGCCACATTCCCTGAAGATCAGCGAGTTGTTCTTTAGAGGAGACAGAACTGTGTAGATAAACAAAAATTTTCCATTCTCAAAAGGAAACTATCTAAAGAGCAGATCACATAAGGGCCCCTAAAATCCTGCTATAAATGTCTTTTTCACTCTCATGCATTCATTACTTCTCCCACAAATGTTTATTGAGCACCTGTGATATGCCCAAACTATGGCACTATTCTGGGTGCTGGAGATACAATGGGGAACAACACAAGCCCCAGAGACCTGGGGTTTACATTTGGGGGAGAGGGCAGATAATAAATAAGACAAATAAGTAAACTACAGTAGAAAATCAAGGGAAAATTAAAAGAGGATGAGAGCTGTGTGGTACTGGAAAAGAGACATTGGACATTGTAGACAAAGTATCCAGAACAGGCCTCTGAGAAGGTGATTTTGAGGTGAGGACCTGGAGAATCTAAGGGAGGAAGGAATACAAGTGTGCGATGGGCAAAAGGCAAACTGAGCCCACGATAAACATCAGCAGGTCATCTGACAGACTGATGCATCAACCTACTTGCCTCCCACCAAACCTCGCACCTCAGTCTTCCCAAGGCATGTGAAGATTCCTGCCTAGAATGTCCCCTTTTAAAGCCCAACATCTCTCTGATTTCCTTGCTCAGATTTCCACTCTAGGATAACATGCTTTATCAGGACTGTCCATCTCTCTATCTGGATGCCTGCTGGACCTTAGCTGCTCTCAATGCCTCACTTCGTCTTTCTTCGTACACACTGTGCATGGCATCAGCAATGCTACAGATAATGCACATGAAAAGATGAAATACAGGAGAATAAAATTATAGTCTCATTAAGTTTAAAAAAATCAGATTCCAGAACTCACACCTAGTATATGAGTATAAAAGGAAAAGGATATTCCTAATGGAAATAGTTTGTAAAGAGCTACAATCATGCAGTGCATCATGATAGTTTAGTCAGTATTGAAACACATATATCATGGGACAGAATTATTATGGAGCTGAAAAATTCCTATTGCCTTATGACATCTTTAACTATGATAATATTGTCTAGTACAATACGTTCCTCTTGTGTCTGTGGTGATGCTGTTGTAAATAAACCTATGTACTGCCAGTCATATAAAAGCACAGTGAATATTCTGTATAGTATATAACACTTAATAATGATACTCAATGACTGTGTTACCAATTTATGTATTTGCTACACTATACTTTTAATCATTATTTTAGAGTTTATTCCTACTTATAAAAATAAGTGTACTGCAAAGAAGTACACCATGTTACATTTGCAACAGCCTCATACTTTTCATGCTTACCTCACTCATGTTTACCTCATCTCTGATTACATCAAGAGGCTACATGAAGTGACTGACCTGTACCACCAAGTGTTGTGGAAAGTGCACTCCATGATGTTTGCACAATGAAATCACCTAAGGACACAATTCTCAGACCATATTCTCACCATTAAGCAAAGCATGACTGTTCAAAAAAGGGGTAGAGTGAAAAGAAGGTTTTATATTCTTCAGTCTTTCAGAATAAAAAGGAGGGAAATAATTTCCTTTTAATTTGGGAGTAAAAACAAGTAGGTTCTCAGGAAGAGGAAAATAACTTCATTTCACTTAGATTAAATTGCATATTAAAATGACATACTTTGTTTTTTAAAAAAAAAAATCCTTCAGTGTTTTTTTAAGCCACATCTTCATGAAATGACTATCCTTAACCAAAAATGAAATGGAGAACCTACTAGTGGAGAAGGAAGGATTCTCATGAAAAGAAATGAGCTGAAGCAATCTGGAAAACCTAAAATCCCAACTGTGGGCTAAGGACACAGAACAGAGCAGCAAAATGTGAATTACTCATTTCTGTAACATGTTACTCACTTTTGAATGAACATACCGGGAAGAGATGGCATCAAACAATCCATGAGAGACAGGCTAGTACATCAGTCAGTCCTCCTTCTACCACACTCACCTGCCATCAAATTTAACCCTCTCTCTGACATCCCTCAGTTACTCCATTGGTCACACTGACTGATGCCAGCCCACCAGGCACTTTGTGTCACAGTCCCCTCTCTTACCCCATACCTACATGGTCAGTCTCTCATATCCTTAAGCGATTTCCTCATATGTCCTGTCTAAAATTGTAATACCATTCCTCCATTAGAAAGGTCCCCATTTTTGCTTCATTTTTCCTCATAAAACATTCACCACTTTTATTTGCTTTTTGTTTGTCTCCCATCTCTATAAAGGAAGACTTATAAGGGCAAGAGGTTTGTTTAATTCACTGCTGTTATCCCTAGAGCCTGTGACTAATAGGTGCACTATAAATACTTGTTGACTGAACAAATAAACAAATCAGTGAATAAAATGCTGAAAGTGAATTCAGAAAGAGGAAGGGAAATCTAGATCTCTAGATCTAAGGAAAACCTTGTCATGAATGTTAAAAGGATCCAACAGTCACCTTCCAGTTCGCTGCAGTTCTTCACAATCCCCATGTCCTCCTCCACCATGTCCTCCATCGTGGGGTGTGTCCCCATTCATCTGAACATTCTCTCCACCTGAGTACATATTCTTTCTAAGCAAGACAACAAAGCCCAAATTCATGTTAGTTTATTTTATTCATTTCCTTCTTATCTATGTCATGCACTGGCTAATGGAGAGATGAAGTGGAAGCCTTTGGGGAAAAAGATCATTTTTTCTTTCTGCTATCCTAACAGATTCTTAGTCTTATATGTAGAGCCATGACAAGTGGCTGGATGAATATAAAACTTGATTTAATTGTATATCTTATAAGAGGGAAACTTTCATCTGAGAAACAGATTTTTAGGAAATGGTTTTTTTCCTTATCTACCTTACACAATTTTTTAACCTCTTAAATTTATAAGGACTTATCTTGAATAAATTGATCTTTCCATATGTACATACAGGGGAGTCCCTAAAACATCCTGAAAGAATGTCAGTAATACATTTCAATGTAATGATCTGTGTTCTCTAATTTGTAATCACTAAAGAATACAAAACATATAACATTTATTTTACGGTGTCAGGAAATGTGAAACCAAGCCACACTGGTGATTCATTTGAGGCCAAACATCCATGGGGACCTAAAAAATATTAAGGCAGTATCCTGACCCCACTTCCTTTTCCAAAAACAGATTCCTTCTCAGTGGTATTCTAGTACCTGAAAATCCCCCCCACTGCCTAGTAGTTTACCTTTTGTCAGAAGATGGAAGACTCTTAGGAGGCTCTATCCTGATTGCTGGATCCCATTCCCCAGGTGGAAGGACAATGACTTCATCTAGGAACTCATCAATGCCAGCAATCAGGTCCTGCCTGTCTTTTGCTTTATAAGCAATGTCATGGAATACCTAAAGAATATTAAGAGATGTGCTAGTCCAACAAGAGAACTTTCTACATGTCTCAGAGATCTCATTAAGTCTGAATAATGCAATCCATAACCCACTATGATATTTTATAATCATCTTCTCATATTTACTATTACTCAGTTTGTTCCAAAATATTTAGGTATTTAAATTAGGATCTCAAAGAATATAAGTAGGGGCACGAGGAAGTAGCTATTTTTAATATTTTTTTCCGTTAAACAGTAAAATAACATGTCTTTCAGCTCCCATTGTTAAGTACCATAACTGACACTGTTGATACAGAAGCTAGATGAAAATACTTTAGAGAAATCTACCAAAAAGTCATTCACTGAAATAAACTATGGGACCGTTTAAACGATTGCTGACAATTTAAGAAAAAAAGTTCACATTGAATGTTAAGATCAGGTTAAGAGTCAAACACTGCAGTTCTCAAACACATAAATAATATGAACTATTTAAAAAAGAAAAAAGCCTGAGTTATACTGGCAGCACATAAAGCAAAGGGATTTAAATAAATGATTATTGTTTCTTTTAGCAAGGTAACAAAGGCCAACAAAAACTTCTTGTCTTTTACACTCATCTCCAGAGGAGTTCCCAAAAGGTACATAAACCTTTTTGTCAATCATTCCACTCTTCTAACTAAGCTGATGATCTGAAAGTATTTCATACATAACCCAAGTCTTTCATATCATATAAGTCAAACCCTTTAGACTCCAGAAGAGAAGATGGCCCAGTTAACACTCTTAACCTATGCTTAATGCACTCTACTAAATCTCTTCTCTTGGAAAAGAATTTTTAAGGGCCATCAATCAAATAAAATTGGTCTTTTGTTTGTGGAGTTGAACAGAGAACAACAAAAAGGGCCAGTACATTCTCTATGGCAGATACTGCCATCCTCAACCTCATTTTCTCCTTGCTACCCTTGCTATAGGGACTGGAAAGTCAGGGATTCACTTGCCCAGTCAAACTTGCAGATAAAGATTGGCAATTCTAATCAGTGAGATGTAAGAAAACAGTTCTCCAGGAAATCTTTAGAATAGCTGTTAAAAGAGGCAGATGTAGCTATCATTAACCCATCCTTTTTTCCTATGATAAATGATGAGTTGACTGCTAGCAGTGTTGTTTTACAGTATTGATAGGAGGAAAAAGCATGCCATCCTAAGACCATGAAACAAGAGCCTTGGTTCTCAATCATTAAGTAGCTAACTACCTCTTAACCTTCTATTATGTGAGAAAATTAAACCTCAGATTGTTTAATCCTATTGCTAGGAGCGTAAAGCATTCCTAATTTGTATACATTAGGAGGAATAAATTTTTCTTAAAAAGAACGAAATTATAAACATACAAAAAGTAAAACTAAATAAACCCACTACAATGAGGGAAATAAATCTTCCCTTAAGGGACATTATCAGCATAACTGTGCTTTAATGTCTCAGACTGAGAAGAAAGCAACCATCTAAGTAATCACTACACAGAACTTCTATATCTAAGATGGAACCTGCCTTTGATTCTCCACCTAATGTGAAAAAACTGACCATTCAATGAAGCAAAAGCAAAATATTTTAGAAAATAGTAAAGTAGAAAGACTTAGAAGCAGAAATTAATGATCCAATATTCCAGCAGTATTTCTGCTAACGTGAGACTAGTTCAGAGTTTTATCAGACCTAAAATGCACTTGACAACATTTAGGCTATTACTAGTGTGAGTAAGGCCATAATTTCAAAGTAGTAGACACTGTGCAGTAACACTTGCTAAAATGCATTGCAGGTGTACATTATGCCTTCCCACAAATAAAAATGCCACAGAACATGTACATTATACATTTTATTATGTATTACTTTATAAAACACATCACTTGAGAAATAATATAGTATACAGACACTTGAATTCCCAGAACTAATATATTAAACATTTTAAGAGATACAGTTAATACAATGACCTTGCTTTTTGGAGGCTTTTTTGGTTTTTGTTTTTTGATTTTTTTTGCAGTACTAGGGTTTGAACTTAGGGCCTTGTGCTTGGTAAGCAGTCACTCCATCATTTGAGCTACACTCTAGTTCATGACCTTGAACTTTTAAAAGAATATTTAACATACATAAGTTTTAAGAACTAAAAATATGTAATGTCCAGATCAAGGTAAATGCATATGTATCACCTTAGGCATTGATCATCGGATTTTGTTGGGAACCTTCAAATTCTCTTTACTAGCTATTTTTTTTGAAATATATAATTATTGTCAACCATAGTCACCATGCTGTGCCTCAGATCATTCCAAATTATATACATGTATGCATTTACCCCTAAATAGGTACCTACAATAGTGTGTTGATTCATTCAAAAAAATTCCCAAAAGAACTAAAAAAGTTTAGAAAAAATATTTATTACAGTATTTCTGAATCCACTACAAAAACAAAACGTATGCCTTACAGTTTTTTTTTTTAAACTGCACTGTATAGTAAATATTAGCTCATTTGCCATAAATGTCTATAGTTTGTGTTATAATGCAGTCTGGAAACCACAGAATTCTAATTGAACAAACTTTAACAGCCAATTCAGAATATGAACTCAACATAAATAGGACATTCACAAAACCCATTCTTCCCAAGTCCCTACCTCATCAGACATCAAGGTGGCAATGGCTCTGCCAATCTCATGGTAGGACTTGGCTTTTCCCTTAGGACCTAAGAGAATGAACAAGAACCTAATGGAAAAGGAGAGAAGCAGAGACTGTAACACACATTTCAGCAAGTCAATATACCAAAAACCCAGAAATGTTTATCTTACTGCAAAAAAAGGTTAGGTCTAGAATTCACCTCTTTAAAAAAAAAGATGCTCTTCTAAATTATATAAAAGATACTCTTTCACACCATTACAAAACACAGTGGTTCAGTTTCTTTGGAAGCAAAGGAAAATTTAGAATGGAAATCAGAGAAGCTTTTTCACTAAAGCAGGAAAGGTTCTTACTTTATGTACATCATGACTTGTTCAATCTTCCCGTTTTAAACTTTCTTCTTTCACCATTCCTACTAACTTTTGGAATCTTTGGAACAAACCCATTAAGTACAATAACTAGTACATCTTTGGATTTCACTGACTTTTCCTTACCCACTATGGGACATGACAAATGATTCTGTACTTTTAAGAAATATTGCTAACAGCCAATGTAAGGGAAGAGGAATATGAGAGAGATTCAAAATAAGCATCATTTGCAAACAGTTAAAAGTCTTTTGTGGGATTCCTCATTTTTCTTTTTAAAACTTGTTTTCTTGGTAATGCACAAAGCATTGATCCAAAGAAAACAGGATCCAAAATATTCCATATAATAATAAGCTTATTCTCACTTATCACATCAGAAGGAATCCCTCACTGGTCACAAGAGTGAAGGTGCCTGTCTCCACAGGGGAGGAGGGAGCCTAGTAAACAAATGACTAAGAGAAAACATACAAAAGGTAACACTGGATAAATCCCAGCCTTGATAACCTAATAGGGGAATAATCATGTCTTACCTAACAAGGGGAATGATAAAGGCAATAAAATGATGACATCATATCCTTGCACAGCTTCTGAAAGCTTGCAAAGCATTCACAGCTATCACCTTACTTAAATTTCTCTGCAAACAGACATGTATACGATTCCTGTTTAATAACAAGAAAACAGGCTGAAGAAGTAATGGATGAGCTCAAGGTCTGTGCTTAGCAAATAATAGGGGTTGGGGAGGTAGATCAGTAACAGAGTTTGTGCTTAGCATATCTGATCCCCCAGGGTTCAATCCCTAGCATCAAAGAGAAAAAAAAAAGGAAAGACAGAGTGCAGTTAGAGTGTACATAAACCTTTATATGTCCTGTTCTTTTCATCAAGCAATTCTGCCTTCCACCTGCCCCACTGATATACCAGGGTTGTGAGTAAGTCAACAGAGAAAAACTATCTAGCAATAACTCATAGGCCAGCTACCAAGCAGCATAAGGGCATAGTTTTAGGCAAAATAGGCAGATGTGGTATAACCAAAGAAAATATCTTAATACCTGAGTCTTCTATTAAGTATATCTTAAATAATGGATTTCTTTTGACCATTATTTATTATTTCAATTTATCTAAATATTAACTTTTCAGTAATGTATAATATCTGAAACCTTTCCAGAACCACTCTACACCTATTCCTGTCTTTCCCTAGCATCCCCATCATGATCATGGTTGACAAATGCACATGTATCAACTGACATGAGCTAATTATCAGGTTGACTATATGGCAACAAAGTCAAAGTATCATCCTCTTAGTGAGAAAAACACTCTCTGTCAATAATAATCCTAAAATATAAACTTTGGCAGGGGATGGATAACTATTTTAACAGCTGACAGAGTGATGGACCCACAAGCTAAATCCTATAAGAGGAAGACATGCATTTTCCATAAAATATTTCCTGTTTGGTCTCTGCTAAATAATATTGAAGAATGAATAAAAGCAGTAGGTCATTGGTATATATGACATAATATAGCAGTAAACTCAGCATATGAGAAGTACATTGGTTCAGTAATCAGGATGTAAAGGTATCTAACTTAAAATAGCAAAATATTTCTTCATTAATGAGCTATCATCAAGTGCCAAATAGAACAACATGGTGACATAGTTACACTTTCCCAGTCAGGAACAATTCAGCAAATCCACCTTCTTAAAATGATATATACAGGAAATCTGAGCATCCATAGCAGCAGGAAACACCACCTTAATTCAGGAATAGATAAAATTAAGATGCTTCCAATCTGGACTGCATTACTGACATGGGGGATGAGAAAAGTGATAACACAGAATAACCCAGCAAGCTGAATTTCCCTCTGCTTGAAACATGTTCTCTCCCCTTTAACCCTCAAAGAAGCAAAAGCTGTTACAACTTTTATGATGGAAATACATCCTGCCAATCTCAGCTTTTATAACATACTGAAAACTCCTTTCATGACCCAAGCTGGTTTTTGTCAATGGACAGATGTTATTTTTAACCAGAAGCTTTTCTCTTTATTAACAAACTAGAGTAAACATAACATTTGTGTGACTGGAAGGGAACAACCCATGCTGACAGTTCAGAAAAACATGAATTTGTGTTACTGTGTTCTTTTTACTCACTCATAACTAGAAATAAGTCAGCGATAGAATTTCCACAGTGTCTAGTCATCTCAAGAATCTTCATAAGGCCCTTTTCTATCTTGGGGAGTTTTTTAAAAAAAACTAAGTATGACTGTAGAGAATGCCTCTAGCATTCTAGTACCAGATGATCTGTGTCTAGAACCAAGGGCTTATACTCACATTCACAAAATAATTATAGGCAGAAACAGAGCACAATATCCAGGAAGGAGCCAGCCTTCCTAAACCACTCAATCTTTTCAGAAGGATGTGCAACTCCCCTTCTCGAAAAATCACAGCTATTTCTAGAATAAACTCAGCATGTACCAATCCTTTTCTCTCTTTTCTGAATACAACAGTGAGTCAAATGATCCATAATTCATATTTAGCAGCTTTGGAAAATGTGGCTAACCTGCAGCTTCCACAATAGATTCATGAGGACCACAACCCACAGTAACCAGCCACATTACATACAACACACGGCAGCCAGAAATTAGATTGGCGGACAAGACAGAATCAGACTAGCAGAACTTCTGTTTCAATCCCTCTAGTAGTTATTTTTAATGATTTCAACACTTGAACATAAACTATTTCTCTTAGACAAGTAATTATAACACAAATACATATTAAAATTTACAGAAATGCTAACAATATAAACATTCTGTTTTTTAAAAGGAATAAAACTTACTGAATGACCATTTGCCTTCAATATTCAAATCAAGATTAGAAAGAAACAAAATGACCTAGACTTCTTCATGGGAGATTTGGAAAGCATTTTATCTAGGCCATTCTAGGTACCTTCCTAGGCTCTCCCTAGAATTTGGCTTCAGAGTCAGAAATCTGGAGTTCTGACTTTAGCAGAACTTTAGCACTGACAGTGAGCCTTCCCTTTGCCTCCATCCCTCAACTATAAAATGGTAATAAGCATATTTACCCCCTGTACATCTCATAAATTTAGTAGATGTAAGATAACAAACAGCAAGCATAGTGCCTGCAAGATATTAGGAAAGCCATATATAATCTACCAAGTTATCAAACATCAAAGACCAGAGTTTGCTTTCACATGAATGGTAAGAAACACTGCCACACACTCAGTTAATAGTCCTACAGCTTCAAATAGAGCCTAAAACAGATCAGTAAGTAACAAAGCAAATAGAGAAATTAGTAAATTCTACTCAAGGAAGGAGAGCTGCTATAGCCAAGCTCTTGAAAAGTACATGGCAGGAATACTGTTTATTAAGAACAGTAATAATAGTAGCATAACTTTCCTCCACCTTTAAAAGGAAAATTACCATAAAAAGATATGCACCAAAACAGACTTTTCAGTACCACAGAGCAGCAAGCACATTAAAACACATCATGGAATGCAGACAGAGTCCTTCACAATGACCGCCACATTCCTTGTGGGATTTCCTTTATTGGATTTCACAGGATGCAGCCATTGTAAAAGGCCTCATATTACTCACTACCAAAAAAAGCTAATGAGACTCCCTACTCAGTGATTACAGCTTGCACTGGTCCTGAGGATAGCAAATGGATAAAGCTATTTCCTGGAACAATGTTAACATGCAAGGATATATTGTTCAGATTATTGCCCTGAAATAGTTTTATGATATTATTGAATTATCCCCCTGAATTACTTGGCTTCTCTTGTTAATTCAAATGATGATGTATTTCACTTCTTAACTAATACTACCCTCCAGTACAGAGGAAGAAAAAGAACAAGCCAGACAGGAGTAGATGGATGATAAGAGGGATACAAACATGATCATGGTTTGCTACTCAATGCATGTGTATTATTGTTAAATAAAAAGCCCTTCAAATATTTTTTATTTGTAACTTCTAAAGAAAAATGGTAATAAAAGTGAAAAGGCAAAAGCAATTTTCTTTAACACTTCTTGGCAGATTTTTTTTCTTCCAAGCCCCAGTAAAGTTAGTTCAAAGAGACATAAATAAAGCCATTGGGGCACAAGGCTGGACGTCAGCCATTGTCTGAGTCAGCAGGTTGCCAGGTGATTGCTCACATAGAACTGCAAGTCCCTGATGGAATGTTTTCAAGCAAAAAACTAAGTTACAGAAAACACAAATCATGATGATCCCATTAATTGAATAAGCCATGGCCATCTCCTTTCCACTGCTATTTGTCTAGTAAGTGCCCTGTATATTTTTGCTATTTTAAAGAAGCATCTAATAAATTTTAAAATGGATAAAAACAAATATCTGTATGACTAGGAAGAATGACATGTACTGAGAGGTCTTAAGGAATTGTCTCCTAATTTTCCTCCTAATGTTGCTCAGAACAAACCTTGAGCCTCTTGCCACTGTTGGTCAATCATGCTCAGACCATCTGAGTTCACTGAGGATATGTAGCTCTTCCTGTTCACGTAGGAAGCTGAACAAAATTGACCTATCCTTATCCACTGGCAAGGACCCACAGAAAGCACACCCCTCCCAAAAGTCATTTCAGATGGTGATAATTTTCTGATGTCAACCTCAAGGTACAAGCTTCTCTCTTAAATTCTTCCTAAGCATAAGTTTAAGTAAAGCATTAACTTCTCTTCAACTAATTATGCTACAGTAAGCCAAGCTTCCTAACTACTGAGCTCAGTTTCAGAGAACATGAAAAAGATGACTAGGATCACAGAGGATGACTGTGCAGTGGAATGAGTAAGCGATGGTAACAACAATGACATGCTTCCTTTTAAACTAAAAATTCAAGTGGCATGACACACATAACTTCAGTGTGCAGATTTAAGTGTACAGTTTAAAGACTTTTACAAATATGTTTATATACACCTATTATGTATGTATGTATGTATAAGCCCACTACAAATTCTCTGAGAAGACACAGAGCAAATTGAAGCAACCATGACATCCGAACCATTTAACAACTGTATTACTTTGGATTACTTGTTTAAACTCTCAAATTCAGTTTTTTTATCTGTAAAATCTGTGTAGTACAATTTGTATATCAAAAGATTACTGTAAAGACTTAATAGAATAATCCATAAGAAGGAACTAGCATATTACCCAAAACATTGTCATAATTCCTATTATTATCACTACTCAAGTACCAAATGATTTGACTGCATAAAAGTTAGACTTGTCTAGTATTTCAACCTCAATGCACTGAATGTGTCTTCATTCTATTGATTCTCTCATCTGAGAGGCAGACCATCTCCCTGCAAGCACACTGTGGACACCACAGGTAGGAAAGCAGCTTACCTTGTGGGCACAGGGACTTCAGTCAGGGCACCCAGCATGACTGCCTGCTGTAACCGAACAAAGGCGATGAAAGGAGTGTCCAAGAAGTCCACCTCCCCAACAAGCACATTGGAAGCTTCCGCATCCCGTGGCAGCTTTTTCATAAACTTATTCTTTAGCTACATGGGGAGAGCCAAGAAAGCACAATTTATTTCCAGAGAGGGGAACAAGAAGAGACACCATCTACATCATTCATGGTAAATCCCTTTATATCAGTCATCACACAACAGCCTCTGGTCAGGTGCAGTGGCTCATTCCTGTAATCCCAGCTTCTCAGGAGGTTGATATAGGGTAGATCACAGTCTGAGGCTAGCCCCAGGCAAAAATGTGAGACCCTATATGAAAAATAAAACAAAAATGGGTGGAAGTATGGCTCAAGTGGTAGAACACCTGCCTAGCAAGCGTGGGGCCTTGAGTTCAAAACCCCAGTGCCACCCCACAAAAAAACAGTCCCAGCTAGCCACTTTTATATTATACTTAACCACTCAATTATAATAAACATTGACTTGTAGCTTGTCTTAAAAATACTAAAGATACACTTATTTATTCACTCACTGAATGAAAACTACTGAGTCTGCTATGCACCAGACAATGATCTAGTTCAAGAGGGGCAAATTAATTATATGTCCTTCTTAGGCTCATATTCCTGTGGGGGAAATAAAATATGGTTGAAAGTAGTCATAGTAATAGGAAGAGAGAAAAAAAAAGTAAGCAAGTCCTATTTTCAGGCAAGGTAGCCAGGGAAAGCTTCTGAAGAGATACATTTGACATTGGAGCAGGGGTACAAGACATGCAAAGATCTGGGCAAAGAAAATTCTAGGCAAAGAATAGCAAATGCAGAGTCGTTGATCAGGAAGGATCTTGGCACTTAGGGTAAGAATTAAAGAACAAATAAGAAGGTAGCAGTTAGTTAGAAGTCGAGTGTGGTGGGAGCTGAAGGAGCAAAGGAGAGGAGACAGCAGGAAATGAAGCTGCATGAACAAGGGAGAGCCAGGTCTTAGGACCTTAAAGATCATAGTAAGAAGTTTTAGAACTTTGAAGTAGGAGCTAGCCTACCAAAATTCCCAGCAGAAAGGTAGAACAGGAAGACATAATTTGGGAAACATCACGTAAACAGTAATGAAAGACCACAACTCTGAGAGGGAGCATTGACAGAGAAAAGAGATAAGAACCACTCTACATCTCATAGGAATAGAAGATATTGGCAGAAGACACTGAAAAAGAGCAGCAAAAGAGAAGAGGAAAACCAGAACTTCACCAATAGCTAGGTAAAGAAAGGGCACAAATAAGGAAAGTGGAGAACTGAGTCCTAAGAGGTGCAAAGTTCAAACAAAATGAGAATTAAGAGTACATGAATGAATTTGGCAAGATGGTGGTGATGGGTAATCTTGACAAGAGCTGTGTGAATAAGTGAGAGAGTAGAGACTGGGAGTAGACATTACTTTGAAGATTATCACTACCAAGAAAAGATGAAAAATGGGGAGGTAAAAGGGAGAGGTCAAAAACAGGGAATATTTTCCAAACAGGGACATCAAAGTAGTTAGGATTGTGAACAGAATGATCTAGTGGAGATAGATTAAGGCTGCAGAAAAGACAGGGAGTAATTGCAAAAGCAGCTCAAGCAATCTGGAACTACTGAAAAGGGGCAATATCCACATCACAGGTAGAAGGGTCAGCTTCAGATAGGAACACAGCCTATCAATCCTACCAGGGAAGGAACACTTTATGGTTTCAAAGGCAGGTGATTTGAGAATTTGGTGGGGTGATGCTGAGAGCTCCTGAGGACTCCTATTTTTAGAGAAATACAAGTGATCTGATGGTGAGGAGGAGGGAAGCATGTGGAGGTTTGCGGAGAAAAGAAAAGGTGTAAAGCAGTTTTCTTGTAGAGTGAAGGATTCTTAACACAGTTGCCTTGAAAGCTTATCATACCAACAACACAATTAAGAATACATGCAGAATATCCCACATTAGAATAGATACTTCCACAGTGGCGTGGCTTCCTACTACTATAGCACATTCTCTGAGACTACTGTACCCATATTGGGAAAATTAGAGGTATATTTTTAAGGCTAAAGGAAATGAACTAACTTCTGTATACTCTGCAGACAGTTATAAAGGCATATTCTTTTAGTATAGCATATCTCAAACCATGCTTATGGAATATTATTATGGGAAGAGGAGCTAATAAATATTCTAAAACAAAAATGTTTAGTGTTTGAGGTACACCAGAACTCAGTCCTTAGATGTAACTTACCTATCTGCACACACTTCTGAGGTGATCTCATCAAGTCTTATGCCTTTAAAATCTATATACCAATGACTTACAAATTCACACCTCTAGCAAGGACCTTTTTCCTATATTCCATGTATATTCCTATACTGTCTCCATGTGGATTTCTAATGCACATCTCAAATTTCACATGACCAAATGAGCCATCCTAACAGTACCCATAAATAAGCTCTTCCTACAGTCTTCCCTGTCTGGTAAATAGCAACTTCATTCTTCCATTGTTCAAGCCAAAAATCTTGTTGTCCATTCTACCATCAAATCCTATTGGAGCTATATGTTCAAAATACACCCAGAATCCCACTGTTTCTCACCACCTTCATTGCCACCACTCTGGCCCATTTCTAATCATTCTCTGGATGGTGGTGTTAGCTTCCTGCCTAGATTTCCTGCCCTTGCCAGCCACAGCAGGCAAATCAGAGTCAGGTCATGTCACTCCTCTGCTCAAAACTCTCTATTGCCCACCATTTCACTAAGTGAGCCACGATCTCTATGACAAGCCCCAAATGCCAACATCATCTAATTGCTCATTTCCTCCTTTATTTAATTTCCTACCACTCTCTCCTGGTCTTCCCTATGGCCACCACTATAACCTCCACGTCCTCCCTCAGATGTTCCAGGCCTTCTCACTTTAGGTCCTTCACACCTGATGTTCCCTCTGAGTGGCTCCCTCTCTAAGTTCTTTGCTGCTTATTCAAGTCATTTTCTTACCAGAAAGGTTTTCCCTAGCCACACTAGTTAAGATTTCAATTCCCTTCTCCCCACAGAGATTTCTTATTTCACAGTGCTGCTTTTTTTGCTTCTTCAAACTTATCACCTTCAAACATACCCTAAGTGTTATTCATGTTTTTTTATTAATTGCCTCCCAGGGCTGATGAAGTAGCTCAAGCGGTATAGCACTTGCTTATCAAGCATGAGGGCTGGAGTTCAATCCCCAGTACCACAAAAACAAAAATTGCCTCCCACTAAAATGTCAGCCCCCTGGAGGTAGGGACAGACGCCTGGTTTGCTCAGTACTGTGCTCTAACACCCACAAGAGTATCAGAGGAGAATCGCTCAATGGACATCTGTGTAACGAACGAGTTACCATTTCTGCTCTTCCCAGAAAACTCTCCTAACTCTACTCTTTTTTTTTAATTTCTAGGATTTATTAGTATCAATGCCATTCATGAAATTTCTCATCATTACAACACTGAAGGACAGGAAAAATATTAGTTCAATGCTCATTTTACATGTTGCAAAAGAATGACAACTCAGTAAGCTTTAGAAAAGAGCACACAAATTGGGGTACTAACAAGAATGGTTCAAGAGTCCTAAATTTATCCAATGTACCCTAAGGCTGGCAGCTTGGTCAGTCCCAGAACTAGTTCCCACACTGCTCGGCCCACAGCAGCATCCAGAGATAATATACAAAGAAAAGGAATGCACTTGATTTCGGAATTGGTCTTTACTCAAATATTCTGGTAAGATGGCTCTACATGGCTAAAATTTTACGTAGCAAAGCATCACCGTGACTAGCTCAAAATACATTACTGGACATGGGAGAGGGAGAAAGAGACAGGTGGGCACACTGGCCACTTTCCTATACTCTGGACATCCTTTGTAATGCCCAGGTCTCTTCTTAAAATTGCCAGTTCTGCACATCCCATCCAGGCCACGTAAGTGGGCAAAAGACCTAAATGCAGCCATTCCTAGTAAAATACTTCCATGACAGTATTCCCCAAAGGATAAATGGATGTATGAGACCAAACTCTCATGAAAAAACTGATATTTGTATGGGTAAAAATCAGCATTCTCCCCTTCACCTGAGGTTCTTCCCTGCTGTGTTGAAAGGCATGTCCCAGAACTGTCCACACTAGGAAAAACTGAGGGTAACACCCAAGGTGAATCCAACAAAAGAGAAAGAGAAAAATGGGTGGAAAGAGGGATTTCTGGGTCCCAGCACTAGTCTTTGATGTCCTGCAGCTTTTCCAAAAATTCTTCCCAGTGACATAAGTCACTACAGCCCCCTCTGGGCTTAAATTCTTTTTTTTTTTTTTTTGGCAGGACTAGGGTTTGAACTCAGTTCTTTGTGCCTGCAAAGCAGCTGTTCTACCACTTGGGCCATACCTCCAGTCCATTTTGCTCTGGTTATTTTGGAGATAGAGTCTTGTGAACTATTTGCCTGGACTGGCCTCAAACCACAATCCTCCCAGTCTCAGTCTCTCAAGTAGCTAGGATTACAGGCATGCACCATTGATGCCTAGTGTGGGCTTAAATTAATTTTAAGTGCATTTCTGTCCAATGTAGAACCCATATACAAAAGTGTATTTTTCAGATAGATTTGAGGAACATCAGATTAAATAAAATGAGCTTCTGTACTATAGACTTTCTCAGAACCTTTAATATGTCTGCAATCCTAGGAATGTTTTATCTTACATGAGGAAATGACACATTATAATATGAAATCAGATTAGAAAATTCTACTTTGTATATCAATTTTCTCCTCTTTCATTTAATCCTACTCTCAACTCCACTTTAATCTCTTCAAAATGTATGGGTGCCTACAACCATCAAGGTCTGGTTGCAGTCACGGTAAAGAACAGACAGATACTACTCTATGGAAAGTCACAGTCCAATAGAGAAGACGCAAATACAGAAACAGTTGTAATAAAAGAAGAAACATAAATACCATGAAAGGTACAATGTGTGATGGGAGGTCACAAAATCCAACAATCACACCTAGTAATAAAGTTAAAAGAGGGCTCTTCTCTGAGTTAAAGTTAAAAATTTCTCCCATAATTTTGTGTTATCTTTTTAAAGGAACCCAATAATATGTGATACAGGAAAAAG